AGTTTTCCTATACACCATGTTTACAGCAGGTTTTCATGACATGGTGGCAGAAAGGCACATGTCCTCTCTGCACTAGCGGTCATGCCATTGCAACCACTTAGTGCAGCCACTCTGATAGGGGCTGCCACTCCCGTATTAATTTTGCTAGTGTTACAAGCCTGTGCAAAGCAGATACACTTCCACATTATCCCTAAAGTTCTCTGGTTGATTTAGCCAGACAACCAGGTTCTCCATAGTGCGAAGCTAAAAAAGACTGTTGTGAGCAGGTTAATGATTATACTCGTTAATTACTCAGTACACCATGAAAAGTCAATACCCTCTGAAGCTTTCAAAGAAGAGAGAGTTTACAAGGGATCATTTTCTAGAGGACAAGAAGAGCTTCAGAGGAACATGCCAGGCCAGATCCTCAGCTGGTGTAAATTGACATAGCCACGTTGAAGTCAATGGACCTACATAGAACAGCATTGTATCAGAGATAGGTATTAATAATCATCAACATTACTGATGGATCTTAGCTGATTTACACTAGCCAAGGGTCTGGTCCACACTATGTAGTGATGGCCTGAACAAGCAAGGGAAGGGGGTGAGAAGAGAAATCTTCTCCTCCACCCAGTTCAGCTAGGAAGATAAAAGCTCCTTAGTTTGGGGTACTCTAGCTGTGGTCTGGAAAGCCTTCTGTGTGTAGAATTCTCATTGACTTCATTAGCAGGATCCGGGCACAGGTATGTAACGTTAGTTTTGTGAGTGCAATGTGATGGGTGCAGATATAAAAGCCAGAATAGAACAGAACCGGGCTTTTCTGATTTTGCTTTCCAGCTGCAAAATTACTAAACAACCTTGTGGAATTCTGGCAATTCTTCTGTTCTGGGTTTTTGTAGACTATCAAAGCATTCCAGCAGCAATTCAATGAGTTGCTCAGACTTGATTAGAAACTTGCCTTTGCCTACTGGTTGCCTGAGATATTTTCACTGTAAGGTGATCGTGGTCACAGGTGGGGTGCCTGGGATATTTGTCGCTCTAGAGCAGGGGTCGGCAACCTTTCAGAAGTGGTGTGCCGAGTCTTCATTTATTCACTCTAATTTATGCCAGTAATACATTTTAACGTTTTTAGAAGTCTGTAAGTCTATAACATATAACTAAACTATTGTCGTATGTAAAGTAAATAAGGGTTTTAAAATGTTTAAAAAGCTTCATTTAAAATTAAATTAAAATGCAGAGCCCCCCGGACCGGTGGCCAGGACCCGGGCAGTGTGAGTGCCACTGAAAATCAGCTCGCGTGCTGCCTTCGGCACGCGTGCCATCGGTTGCCTACCCCTGCTCTAGAGTTGCAGACTGGTTGCCTGGAGATTTGTCACTGTAAAGTGACCTCAGCCTGGGATAGTGTCACTGTGAGTGACCTCCTTGGCTGAAGGGCTGAGTACTTAGCTTAGCGAATAAAGTGTTGAACAAAGTAATCATTAATCATTTAGATTAGCTGCAAGGGACCAATACACAGAAGTAAAGGGAGGAGATAAATTTAGTGCTATTTGCACCACTCACTGACTATTTGTGGCCTAATTTCTGTCTGTGGAGAAAGTGCGTGGGTTATTCTATTGGTCACTTTTCTGGTAATTAAATAACATGTGCTTGACTGGGAAAAAGAAGTGCTAATGCATTGGACTAGTTGGACCTTATTCTCATTTGCACTAAGACCCCTTTACACAGTGTAAGGGGGCCATAGTGCCCCCCGTTATGTTTTGTAACTCCTATGTTATTCTATTTTTAACTGTATGTTGAAGGTACCTAGAGCTTGGCTAGGGGAGGGCAGTTTTTGGTGGTGCAAAGATTTCAGTCTAAAAGCCTCCTACAGTAAATACCTTGATCTTATTTTAGTCTCCTCTGAATATTGGTCAAAATAAAAATTAAAATGAAAGTTGAAAATAACGTATTTTAAACATTTCATGTACTAAGGCCACTTTCCTTAAGACAGATATCCATCAACCATGTGACTGCATCACACAACTGAGCCTTGTCATTAGCTAATCAACATGCGGGTGTTAAAATACTGGCTTTGTGCCCCTCCATAGGGACACTGGCAGCTCTAAAATAGCTTTACTGCCCGCAACTGGAAATGGAAAATAAGTAGTCAATGGTTTGGCAAACACTCCCAAAGCATCCATACTCTCTGTAAAACAAATTTGTTCTCAAAAACAAAAGTCAATCACAACACTTAGGTGAAACGTGCCTTGCTTTTTTGTGAAGCTGCCCCAAAAGCAATTCTTGTTAAAAATTCACCGACACTGAGAGGTTAAATGACAAGTACTGGCATCCCACAGCAGGTCTGTGGCAGAGCTGGGAAAAGGATCCAGGGCTCCGCCCTCCCAGCCCCATGCTAGACTACACTGCTTGTATATGAATGAGGTATGCCTTCTGTGTGCTTACTTTTGTGCCAAAAAACCCTCAGTGGTTAGACACCTATCTGTCTCTCCTGCTTTATTGATCTGTATAGGCAACACTTTATAAATGTCATTTAGGATGTCAGAGGCGCTGTACCCAAGTAAATAGAGCACTGAACTCAGATTTGGGAGACCTAGATGCTATTCGTGGCTTGGCCAGTAGCCTGCTAGATCATCTTGGGCAAATCACATTACTGCTCCGTGCCTCGGTTTCCCTGCCCATGAAATGGGGATGATGACACCGACCTTCTTTGTAAATCACTGTTTAATAGTAGATCTCAAAACACTTTACAAAGGAGGCGTTGCATTAACCGTCTTTCTTTTTGCATTTAGTTACCCTCAATCTGATGGGGATTTAAATAGGCTGATTCTAACAGCACTAAGAGGAATTTCTCCCACACATCCATCCTCATACCCTATTCACTGATGAAATAACAATAATAATAATGCAAAAACCAAACAAACAAACAAAATCCCGAGGTTAATGCAACATTAAATATTAGAACATAAGAACATAAACACGGCCATACTGGGTCAGACCAAAGGCCCATCTAGCCCAGTATCCTGTCTTCCAACAGTGGCCAGTGGCCGGTGCTTCAGAGGGAATGAACAGAACAGCTAATCATCAAGTGATCCATTCCTGTCGCCCATTCCCAGCTTCTGTTGCAAAATCAAACACTCAAAAGTCAGGAAATTCTGAAAGTTACATTTTCT